GACTTGTTGTAAATGAATAAAGAAGTGTCAGATTTGGATGGAATAAAGCCAAGTGCTTGCATTTTATGACAGAGACGAGAGTACCATGCTCTCGGTGCTTGCTTCAATCCATAAAGTGCCTTGTCCAGTTTGCACACATAAGAGGGGGAATTTGTGCTTTCAAACCCAGGAGGTTGCTTCATGTACACTTCCTCTTTCAGAACACCGTGAAGAAACGCGTTCTGAATGTCTATTTGTCCGAGACTCCAGCCCCTAGAAACAACAATAGACAAAACAAGACGGATGGTTGCAACTTTAACAACTGGACTAAAGGTATCCTCATAGCCAATACCACACCGTTGTTTAAATCCTTTTGCAACGAGTCTAGCTTTGTAACGGTCAATAGTTCCATCAGACTTTCTCTTGATCCTGAATACCCACTTGCAATCAATTAAATTTTTACCTTGCTGTGGAGGAACTAAGTGTCATGTCTTATTTTTCTTTAGAGCTATGTACTCTTCATTCATCGCTTTCTTCCATTTCTCATCACCAAGTGCTTCTTCTAGAGTATGAGGTTCACCTGGTTCACCTGTAGAACAAACCATGCCATATTTTGTTACACGTTTGTAATTAACAGGTTGTATTACTCCCTTTTGTAGTCGTGTACGCCGAGGAGAAGTGCCCAGATTTTCAGCCACAGATGATCCCGCAGCTTGAACAGGAGTTTCTGTATGAGCCAATCCCGAGGACGATCTGTGTGTAGCAGCAGAAGATTCTGTCCCGCTTGGATTTTCTGTGGCAAGTGGCAGCGGCTGCCCGTGTGCAGAATCCGCAGAAGATCCCGCCGCAGCAGCAGGTTCATCATTGCCACATGATGGCGAATCGGCCTCGGGTCTGACGCCGGTCGGATGCATGCGCGGTTCAGCGCTGGATCCTGCGCCAGCTTCGGGTCCCGCACCGGTCGGGCAGACCGGGTGGCGCCGCTTGTAACACACCGGTTGGTCGGTGAAGCGTGCACTGCCCGCGCCAACCGCGGGCTGACAAGTGGCGGATGACGGTTGGTGCGGAGGTGACGACGCGCCGCATCCCGTGAGCGTGGGGCGCGCCTGGTTCGAGGCGGGCATGCGCACTGCTGGCGCCCCTGACGCGTCTGCTGCCGCTGATCCCGAGGCGGATCTGATACGCTGCAGGCGTAGGCGAACGGATCCCGAGGGGGATTTGTCTCCAGATTCCGGGCACATGAAATATGGCGCTGGTGGAGGATTTTCTTCATCATTTTCTTCCCTGATTTCGCCATTTGCCTCGCTATTTTCACCTATAACACCACAAGGCTCATGCATATCATCAGTAAGAGGGTTAGTCAGTGGTTGATCATCACCATTGTTTCCCCCTTGATCAACACCGGAGAGATGAGGAGGCAAAAGAAGGATCTCCTGGCGAAGAAGAGCACCGGCGTTGGGGTGAAGATCAGCAAAAGGAAATTTGGTTTCATCAAAGATAACGTCACGTGAGATATACACACGGCCAGTGGCAACGTCGAGGCACTTGACACCTTTATGTTGGGTGTTATAGCCTAGGAAGACACACTATTTTGAGCGAAACATGAGCTTTCGAGTGTTGTATGGGCGAAGATTGGGCCAACAGGCACACCCAAAAACACGAAGAGATTTGTAGTCGGGTTTGACATGGCAGAGTCATTCTAGTGGTGTTTCATTGTTAATGACACGACTAGGAAGCATGTTTATGATGTGAACTGCTGTGAGGAAAGCCTCATCCCAGAACTTGAGGGGCATATATGCGCCAGCTAGGAGGGCTAAACCAACCTCAACTATGTGTCGGTGCTTGCGTTCAGCAGAGCCGTTCTGTTGATGAACGTGAGGGCATGACACATGATGTGATATGCCAAGGTGTTGGAAGAAGGAATTTAATTTTTCATATTCCCATCCCTAGTCCGACTGGACAGCAATGATTTTACTATCAATTTTTCGTTTAATGAGAGCTTGAAAGTTTTGAAAGACTTGAAAAACATCGGATCTTTTCTTGAGAAGATAAATCCAAGAAAATTTGCTGTAGTCATCTATGAAGCTCACATAGTAAGTGTGTCTACCAACAGAACTAGGGGCAGGGCCCCACACATCAGAGAAGATTAATTGCAAGGGTTTGGTAGAAACACTAGTAGATATGGGATAAGGCAATTGATGACTTTTCGCACATTGACAAGAATCACAGATAGTTTCAAGATCACGCTCACCAACAAACGGGAGCTTATTTTTCCTAAGCAGTTTTTCAACTAAAGAGAAAGCAGCATGTCCTAATCTATCGTGCCACCGTGTTGAAGAGAGTTTGGCAGCACCATGGGCTTGTTTATTGAATCTTCTATGCTCCGGAATCAACGGGTAGAGCCCTCGAACGCATCTACCTCGATAGAGCACTTTCTTCGTTGCCTGATCCTTGATCAAGAAAAAATGAGGATGAAACTCAAGGAAGACATGGTTGTCAATGGCAATTCTATGAACAGAAAGAAGATTCTTGTCGGCACCAGGAACTAGCAAAATTTTCTTTAGATGAAGTTTACGACGAGGGGTACTAAAAAGTGAGTGACCAACATGACTAATCCTCATACCTTCGCCGTTGGCAGTGTAGATGTGATCCTCGCCCCGGTATTTTTCCTTCATGGTGACCTTCTCGAGCTCGTTGGTGATGTGGTTGGTAGCCCCACTATCAACGTACCAGTTCGTGTCAATGCCGTAGGAGCCGTCCGCAGCGGCATCAACCTTGTCCTTGTCTTGGGAGGAGTCCTCATCTTCATCGTAGCGGTACCAGCAGTCCTTGGCTGTGTGCCCAAGCTTGCCACAGATCTGGTAGCGGGGCGCATCAGGACGGGACCGGCTGGAGCCGCCGCCGCGGCGAGGCTTGGAGCTGATGGAGCGGCCGTTGCGAGAGTTGGAGGAGCCGCCAGCGTTGCTATTTCCTCCTGACCGCCCCTTGTTGCGGGGAGATCCACGCGAGCGAGAGCCGCCACCACGACCGCGAGACGCGGCATTGGCCGAAGACTTGAAGCCGCCGGAGGAGCCGTGGAACTGCGCCATGCGCTGATCGAAGTTACTCATCATGGCAAAGAGCTCGTCGAGGGTGCGGGCGTGACGCGGGCGTCGAGGGCGGAGACGAGTGGCTGGTAGTCGACGTCGAGGCTGTGGAGGATGTACGAGATCAACTCGTCATCCTGGATGGGTTTTCCGGCGGCGGCGAGTTCATCGGCGAGGCCGCGCAGGGAGGCGAAGTAGGAGGCGACCGATTGGTTGCCCTTCTGCACATTGATGAGCGCAGTCCTGATGTTGTTGACGCGGCTGAGGTACTGGGACGAGAACATGCCCGCCAAGGCCACCCAGAGGTCGCGCGCCGTGGTGATCGCGGTGACCGCGACCAGCACCTCCTTGGACAGAGTACTCAGCAGATAGCCAAGCACTTGTTGATCCTTCCGGACCCAAAGTGGGTGGAGAGGGTTGGGCTCAGAGGACTCCTTGCCGTCCTTGTCCTTGGTGACGTGGAGTCGGGCCGGCTCCAGCGCGGTGCCGTCGACGTAGCCGAAGACACCGGCGCCCCGCAGGTGGGGTGTGACCTGCGTGCGCCACAACACGTAATTCGTGCGGTTGAGCTTCTCGGTGACCTGGCCATTGAGGCTAGGTTGAGCTGCGCCGGAGGATGAAGATATGTCTATGCACTAGATGCAATCGGGAGGCTAGATTGGAAGAGGATCTGATTACCATGTGCGATGGCGGAAACGTCTTACCCTATCTTGGGCGACGTGCTACGTGTTATATAGCAGGGGCGCAATAACCCTGAGACGCATACATGAGTTGGTTGAGAAGGTAAGAGAGAATCGGGATACAACTTGAGGAGAAAGAAAAGCAAGAGATAGACTTGGTTACAACCGAATAGATGTCATATCCTAGTTAAACTATCTCCTGAACTATCTCTGAAGATCCTCTTCTGTCACGTATGCGCCATGTATGTTTAACAATAATCTCCTCTTTAAGCAGGGGATCATTAAGCTGTCTAGCAAAATCCATTTTTCTTCCTGGATGACCCCCGATACAGAGAATTAGCCTTCTCCTGCTCGAACTCACGACGCACTTTCCTGAGCTTCCTCCGGATATCTCCAAACTTTTATGAATTGTGTGATTCAGAACATATGTCAAAGCCAAGGCACAAGGAAATTGAGAGGTGCACCGGAACAAAACAATAATAATCGTAAATCACAGGATTCGGGAGGAGAACATGTAAACTCTCGAGCACAAAAATGTTTTCTTTCTATATGGAAATCCGAGAAGCACATAGAACATTCATATTGCAAATTTTCTATAAATTTTCAACATAAGCACCACTTAGGAATCTACTCTTGCCCCGGGAAGTCATTTGGTCACTCCCCCTTAGCTCACATGTAAGCAACACAAATGCAAGTAGCAGATCTAATCCCTACAGCTGGAGCAACAAAACTTTGGGGTGTCTTTGATTGGCAGATTATGAAAACATAAGAATAGAAAAAGTGGATGATGACAATAATTAATTCTCAATGGTTGAATTAATTATGTAGAAAATTTCATATGATGCAGTTCAATGTTCTTATGAAAGATTTGTATGCAAAAAGGAAACTTTAAATCAAAGAGGCCCTCGAGCATTGAAGAGCAAAGAATTAGAATTGCCCATTACATATGATTTGACTTGCAGCACTAGATACAGTCACCATTAGATATCGTCGAGAAAAATGTCACCATCAGATATACAAGAAAGCAACATACATATGGCCCAACCAACAGTAGTCAGCCATTAAAACTGGTCATCCTCTTGAAGGCTTGATGATCATCAAATCAGAAGCAATGACAGCAAATTATTCCGGCGTGCACACAAACTCAGTCTGATTTCACAAAAATATCATGGAAGCAGAGCTAGAATGCCAGGCTCGCTGCAAAATCTTTTCACTCGAATCAGCATGTACTATGTTACAGCATGCTACTGTAGGCTCACAAGAACCTGTCGACCGTGGCGGCCAATGCAGTGTCTGCGATGGCGCCGATGATCGTCTCCTTCCTCTCACCGTCCTTGAAGATGAGGATGGTGGGGATGCTCCTGATGCCATACCTCGAGGCCACCTCCTGGTTCTCATCCGTGTTCACCCTCAGACATCTCAGCCTGCCAGCGTAGGCTTTTGCCAGGTCTGCGATGATGGGGTGCATCAGGCGGCAGGGGCCGCACCATGGCGCCCAGAACGCGACCAGCACCACTGTCTCGCACCCCAGGACGACCTCGTCCCATGTCTGCTCCTCCACATCGCCCACTGCAAGTGCAAACAGGCACTCAAGATCAATATAGAGAACCTGATTGTTTGTTTCTTGTTTCATATAAGAAAAATTCAATCAACACTCCAACTGGGCAATCATGCAGGTACACTATTTTGTGCATGATGCAGTTAACCATCTGCAAATCAAGAATTCTGTATTCTAGATATGCATATGCCATCGATTGGGAGCTAGCGACCAAAGATAAGCGACAATAGCTAAGGCCTGCCGCAGGTTTCTGTTGCACTAGGATTAGTATGTTTACACGAGAAGCAGAAGTTACTAGTTAATTATAGTGTGAAAACTTGCTAGTTCACTGTGACACTACAAGCAGAGGACAGTAACATGAGCTTTACATCTCTGACATACTGCCGCAGTTGCAATACAACTCCAAAACTGAGGCCTTGCTTACAGATAATGCAGTGAAGTGCACTACCACTAAAATGCACCAGCGCAACAATGTGACCCGAAAGCTGAGACCTTGTGTAGATAGGATCGGGATGCAGTGAAGAATTGAACCAACACCAGCTGGGCAATAGGTAATGCCTTCTACAGCCTTCTGTTGCACTAGGATTGGATTAAGAGTAAGCATGCCGCATCACATAGTTCACCAGCACACTACCCTGTGAAAAACTTACTACTAGTTCACTGTGACACTAGAAGCAGAGGATAGAAACGTGAGCTTCTTATCTGTAACATACTAGTACTCCAGTCGCAATAGCTCCAGAACTGAGACCTTGTTCCGATACAAAATGCAGTGAAATGCAGTACCAATAAAATGTACTAGAGCAGCAATGTATTAACCCAAAAAGCCAAGACCTTGTGCAGACTATCTATAGGAACAGGGTGGCATGAAACTCGATCGCTGACCGCACACGAGTTTGCCCCGTTAATTTGGCTATTTTGTTGATAGGCGAGATGTGGCTGCTAACTGCTGGCTGAACAGATATAGTACAAGAAACACACCTGCACAGATGTATGGCTTGTTTCAGGCTTATTACAGGGGTGAAATTCCAGCGTTGCTCACGAGAAGTCGCGGAACAAGATGAACACAAGCAAGCGCAAGCACAAGCTTGTGCGCAGCTGGTCAATTCGGCAGTAAGCTATTCCTATTCCTATCTACTGGTATCACTGATCCCATGCTGAAAATGATTCGGCAGGCGGCACGCAAGGAATTCTTAGCTGGGACTTGATAATCAAAGCGTGATTTTGCGTCTCACGTACCGTGGTCGGCGGCGGAGGGGCCGGCGGCCTTGCAGCAGGCGACGCGGCGTCCGGCGGGGGCGGAGGCGGCGACGGCGCCTCCGGTCGGCGGCCGCCTCGGCTGCGGGGGGTTGAAGCAAGAGGGGGAGAACGCAGCGCGGTGGAGGGTGTTTGTTTGGCGTCGGGCGGTGGAGGCCCCCGGAGAGGGCGATATCGCCGTCGCCGTCGCCGTCGCCGCCGGCATGGGGGATCTCAAAAGGAGGGGGGAGGGAAGGTTCTGGAAGGAAGGAAGGATGGGTCGATCCAACTTTGCCTACCTCGCTGTATAAGAAGAGAGTAGTATTACCAAGGATTAGTAAAGAGATTAACGGTATTCAACATCGAGTTGGGCGTTTGGTCTAGTGGTATGATTCTCGCTTTGGGTGCGAGAGGTCGCGAGTTCGATTCTCGCAACGCCCCGTTTCTTTTTTCTTTTTTCTTTTTCTTTTTCTTTGGACGTGGAGAAAACTAGTACATTGTTTTTTTGAAGGACCAGATTGATAGTGCATGAAGAAGTTCTCACTACGAATAACATAATTTTCTCACAATATATACGTATAATAAGGACCACATTGGTAGTACATGAAGAAGTTGTCACTATGAATAGCAGAATGATGATGATGATTTCGTCTGGGGCGGCGACCGGAGTTGGGTTTTCGGGCTCGACGATGACGTTGGCCTTGGCCTAGTGGCGGCGGCAGCACCAAATGATGCAGCCGACAATGAACACGCCCCCACATCGCGAACTCCGATGGCGAGGCCATGATCAATGCTTTTGTTGCCGGCCGTCTCAACAGCGGGAAAACAGAGGAAACAGAGGAGGAATGGGAGTTGCATAAACAAATGAAAGGGGAAAATCAATGCATTCTTACAATTCTGTTCTGGTAGAGGTAGACGGCCACGCGGGTGATGAAGCGTCAGAGGAGGATCGCTGGCATAAACAAATGAAAGGGGAAAATCAAGGCATTCTTACACTTTTGTTCTGATAGAGGTAGACGGCTACACGGGTGATGAAGCATAGAGGATCGTCGGCAATGC